AAGCTAATAAAAGGGTGTTTAAAAGGGTTGCCACCTGCTAAAGAATTAAATGCACTCAAGTTAAATAAATACAATATGGGTATCGATGGAGATGGGTTTGAAAATGCTTTATTTCTAAACAACATGTCCTTACCATCTGTTTAAAATTTAGATTCAACTTTGATTCAAGGGAATTTCTAGGGAAAGTTTAATAATTTTATAGTTTGAAACTATTTTTAACAGGGCTGCCACCTGTTTAAAAATTTAATTCAATGTTGATAATAGGTTAAATTAATTATAACAATATGGATGCAGAACATGGTTTGCCACTTGTCAAAAAATATAATTCAATTAATTTCAATGAATTGCTACGCTAAGGAAATCATCCAAAATAGCTTTGACAGGGTTTAATTTTCAATTACAATTAGTAGGATTGCTGTGTAAAAAATCAAATTCAAAATAACATATGATTAGAAAAAACACTATATGGACCAACCATTATGTTGAGTTTTATTGAAATAATTTGCACCTTATCTCCAAATTTCATACACTCATCGAACTAACTATAGTATATAGTAGTTTGTTTAATTTCGAATACGTGGCAACTTTGTACAAATATCTCCAGATACCCTTAAAATTAAAAACATTATCTGAATACAAAATTCCATCAAAATCGTTACAGTCGTTTCCTAGAAACCTTTGGATATATATACATATATATTTACAAGAATTGATTGTTTAAAATAATGAGATACATACGTATATCGATGGTCCTGTGCAATAACGACACAATTCAAAATTAAAAAAATAAAAACTGTTACTACTGTTAAGTGGCTCTTGTCTCTAATCCTTGTCTAATCCATTTCCATCCCTTACTAAAGAAAGCAGTAAGGATGGATTCGACAAGGATTAGAGACATGAGCCACTTAACAGTAGTAACAGTTTTTATTTTTTGAAATTTGAATTGTGTCGTTATTGCACAGGGCCATCGATATGGAGTTTGAGAAAAAATTCTTACGATTTTATAGCCTTAAAAACTTATTTGCAAGTTTTTACTAGAACTTACCCTTAAGTAGAGAGTTGTTCTCTAAATATACTGACAACTATTTCCTCCATGCAACTCTCTAAATTTTTATATTGAACCCCTCCTCCCCCTCCGCCCCATTCCCCCTTAACGTTGTTGAGCGTCTGAGCATTGAACACTTTTACAGAACACCCTTTACATGTAAAGAAAACTGGTACAGTACTACAGTATTTTCGGTTTATTTCTGGGCAGTAAATTGTAAGTATTTCCAATGGTCACTGCACAGCAAACGCACATTTTCAGCAATTTTTTTTTTTTGTTTCCAAACTATGAACTGTCAAGCATAACACCCAAGCAATAATCTCAGCGCAGTTGAGTGGTGTTACATAACTTTATGACTGTACTTCACTCCTCTAATCCATTCAAATTAGAAACAAGTAAGAAAGTCTAAGTTCGGGTGGAGCCGAACATTAAATACCCGGCGCAAGTATTAAATATATGTTTTTTCACCCTTCCGAAACCTTCCGCTAGATGGTAAGCCGAGGTGTATCAATTTTGAGTAAATTAGCGTCCTTCAATTTCGAAATATTGAAGTTTCAAGCATTTCTTAAATTTACCGTTATATGAGAATCGGCCGTTATTTTAGTCCGATTTCAATAATTTTCAACGTTTTGCTTACACGTGGCAAGTACAATAATCATACCGAGTTTGGTACAAATTGGTAGAACGGTTACCGATATACTTATATGTGATCATAAGTGGGCGGTGCCACGCCCATTTTCCAAAATTTTACCATAAATGTATTTCTTGGTAAAGAATTGTTGCAAGCATCAATTTTGAATAAATTAGCTTCAATATTTAATGATTTATCGAAGCTTTTGTATTTCTCTAAATTACCGTTATATGGGATGTGGGCGTGGTTATTGTCCGATTTTAAAAAGTTTCGGCGGTTTTTTATGCTGTACCAAGGCCCACAACTGTGCCAAGTTTGGAAGAAATTGGTGCAGCGGTTACCAAGATATACACATGTAACCATAAGTGGGTGTGGCTACGCCCGTTTTCCAAAAATTTATAATATTCTTATTTTTCGTCTAAAACTTATTATAAATATCAATTTTGAGTGAATAATCTCCAGTAGTTACTAAAATATCGCAGTTTTCGTATTTCTGGAAATTACCGTTATATGGGAAGTGGGCGTGGTTAAAGTCCGATTTCGCCCATTTTCAATACCAACCTACCTTGGATTAAGGGAAACCTACATACCAAATTTAGTTGAGATATCTCAATTTTTGCTCGAGTTATCGTGTACACGGACAGACGGACGGACAGACAGACATGGCTTAATCGATTTCTTTTTTCATCCTGATCATTTATGTATACATTTGTCTATATCTATCTCGATTCGTTTTGGCTGTTACAAATAACCGTTATGTGAACAAAATTAATATACCCTTGTGCACAAGTGCGCTCGGGTATAAAAATACGATATTTTTCCTTGTAGCTCTGCCGGTACCAGTTCATATTATATTTGTATTAAACTATTTGGATTATATAGTATTTATCTGCTTTACAATTATCCAATTTAACATAATTTAATAAATTAACACACGATTTAAAACAGTTTTTTACAACTTTGGCTTGTATTAAACACATCTAAAAACCAAATAAACAACTATCAACACGGCACTTTGACAGCGCGGTGCGAGCGAATTAAAGTAAAGAGGGATTAAAAAATAACGGAATCTGGTCAAAAATTATATTCTCTTCCCCCTATATTCAGTTATAAAAGAAAAAAGTGCGTTTGGAAAATTCGACTTTTAGCCGCCTAAATCGGCCAAATACCCCTCTGTGGGCCAGTCGAATATGTTTTTTTTATTCATTCAATTACACATTTTTTAATGCTGTTCTTAGATAGTTGTTTTTTACTTTTTTTTTGTAAAATTAAACTCTAAAAATGTAGATTAACTGATAATAAAATAAAAATGTGAAATAGAAAAAACAAACGAAAATAAAATAATGTAAAATTAAATATATAAATCAAATAAAATTAAAAAAGTAAAACAAATAATAAAAAGAAAATTGTTTTGGCAATCGCTCCAACCGGTCTTATTAGTAATTTTAAATTATTTTTTTGTTTAAATTAGGTTAGTTTTTTTTTGTTTAAAATATTTTTTTTTATAAAAAAAGGTAATTTTCCTTTTAAATGTTTCTTCTCAAATTTTTACATACGAAGTATACAAATATGCATAGGAAGAAAGGGGGTTTAATCACGTTTACAACAATACCAATTTTTTAACAATCAGTCCAAAATTGTTTGAAATATAAGGTGTTTAATTTTTCGAAGACCCGACCTTTGACCTCTTATAGCACCTCTAATATTAGTTTGCACAAAAAAAGTTATACACCATTTAAATAAGAGCAAAAGGAGGTTTTTAGTTTTTTAGTTATTTACATATAATAATAAAAAATAATTTTTTACCAAAGGTCCTATTTCGTACTTCGAAGGCCCATATCTCGATTTCGGAGGCTAAGTTCGAAAAACGGAGCAATTACTTTTCTACCTATGACTAAATCTCTTAAAAAAATTGGAGGCGGTTTTCCCCTTAGAAATGTATTTCATGATTAAGATTTCAGTAATCTTAGTCCTTAAATTTTTAAGATTACAATTATTATAATCATAATGTTAACATTTATGATTATAATTAAACTAATTGTAATCGTATATAATTTAAGGATTACAATTATTCAATCATAATTAAAATGTAATCGTAATCAAAAATTACCCAGCTCTGTTACATACATAAATTTTTCATAACGGCTTCAATATCTGAAGTTATTTGAAAACAAGTAAGAAAGTCTAAGTTCGGGTGGAGCCGAACATTAAATACCCAGCGCAAGTATAAAATATATGTTTTTTCACCTTTCCGAAACCTACCGCTAGATGGTAAGCCGGAATGTATCAATTTTGAGTAATTTAGCGTCCTTAAATTTCGAAATATTGCAGTTTCAAGCATTTATGAAATTTACCGTTATATGAAAAGCGGCCGTAATTTTAGTCCGATTTCAATAATTTTGAACGTTTTGCTTTTATTTGGCAAGCACAACAAATCGATAGAACGGTTACCGATATACATATATGTGGTCATAAGTGGGCGGTGCCACGCCCATTTTCCAAAATTTAAATATAAACGTATTTCTTGGTAAATAATTGTTGCGAGCATCAATTTTGAATAAATTAGCTTTAATATTTAATGATTTATCGAAGATTTTGTATTTCTCTAAATTACCGTTATATGGGATGTGGGCGTGGTTATTCTCCGATTTTTAGTATGCTGTATCAAGGCCAACAACTGTGCCAAGTTTGGAAGAAATTGGTGCAGCGGTTACCAAGATATACACATGTAACCATGAGTGGGCGTGGCTACGCCCATTTTCCAAAAATTTATAATATTCTTATTTTTCGTCTGAAAATTATTGTAAATATTAAATTTTGAGTGAATTATATTCAGTAGTTACTAAAATATCGCAGTTTTCGTATTTTTGGAAATTACCGTTATATGGGAAGTGGGCGTGGTTACAGTCCGATTTCGCCCATTTTCAATACCCACC